GTTTTACTTATTGGACTTAAATTGTTTTGCTTTTTCTTTTCTTCCCAGGAAGGTCACACTGGGGGAATTCTTTGTTTCAAGTTTCAGTGCTAAAAGAAAAAAAAAAAAAATTCTTCCTAAAAAAAACCTTCCTTCTGTATCTCCTAGGTCTCCTTTAAGGGACATATAATTCCTTTTCCTCAATATTCAGAAAATCTCTTGTTCAGGAAAATGGAATTTCCTGAAGAGGTTAGGCCTTTCCTCCCAGATTTCTGAAAATATCCTCAATACTCCCATTACGGTTTTTGGAAATGATTCTTCCTCTCTGCTTCCACAAGAGAGCTGAACCCAGTAAAGGTCCTAACTCAGGAAGTCTGGGGTCTTTGCCTGCACATAGTAAAAAGAACTCTCTTCATTCCTACCTGATAAGTCCTCACTGGCTGACCAGATTCCATATTCAGAGGTAACTGAGGGAAGGAAAATCTTTCCTAGGAATAATGATTTTTACTTGCTCCTTGCTCTTTTAAGGAGTAACTAATTTTTCCTGCAGACTAACTGCTGTGGCATGGATTTGTTAGACTACTGCACAGTCCCAGAAAGCCTGGAGGCTCACCAAGTGACCAGACTTGACTGATCTGTCTACTACAACTACTCTCAGTTACAGATTCATATCCTTTTCTTATGCGAATGATATACTGACAATCTGAGTTCATTCATGAAAGGGGTTAAAAACTTAAAACTAATGCTGTTTTAAATATTTATCTTCATTTGTCTTTTTTTTTAATTTATAAAAGTAATTTGAATCTGAAGGCAGGGTCATAATTTATGAGTCTGCTCTACTGATGGACTACAGCACATTAATCCAGCAATGCAAAACTCATCACGAAAATTATTCAGATCTTAAAATGGATCCAAAAAAACCTTCCCTCTAAGCAGCCTATCAGAGGCCGTGGAACCGACAAGAGGAGTTTTTCCTCTCTCATTGTTTTCGTTTCCCATGAGCTCAGCATGAGCTTGGCCAGGAGTGTGCTCCTCCCCCTTACCCAAAGACCTTTGCTGGGAGGCTGCAAAACTTCCTAAAGCTTCTGACTTCCTTACAAGGTAGGCTGATGGGACAGCTTCTTTCTGATGTGCATACCCACATCATTTTGCAGTAACTACAAATTGACTTAACAGTGGAATATAACAGGGTACTCCATGTCTTCCTACCTTCCTGCTCTGGATTCAGGCTTGCCTTGCCAACAACAGTCTGCTACAGATAAACACACTCTGCCAGTACTTACCTGATGGCCTCCTCCCAGCCTTCATATTCATAATATCTGTGCTTAGGGGCTTATTCTTAGAAACCAATGGAGTAAACTGACTATAATAAAGAACTAAGTTACTTAGAAAAAATAGGGTATACAGATGAATGTCCATTTTGTATCTGTGTATTCAAAGTGGTTAGGATAGATATATAGTTGCATTCTCTTAATGATTTGTTCTAATGGTGTTTGTAAATAGGATCTCAAGTCCGCATTTTGTACAGCAATTAACCACTAAGAAGAAAATATGCAGTGTGTTATTTGTTGAAACTGTACTTCCGATTTGATTTGAAACTGTCTCATTACTGTTTATCAATAAAATTTTGGAAAAAAAATAAAGAACTAAGTTGCTAGTGAACTCAGCACTACAAGGCAACATGTGCTGGGACACAAAAAGTACAAATGATGCCCAGTAATTTCTTGAAATCATCCACCAACATCACAATTCAGAATATTTCTAGAAACTAAGGAAAAGACGACTTGTTATCAAATCCAAGCATTGTGTATGCCTACCAGTGGGCTCTTCCTTCCTTATATTCTAGCTAATTGTTAAGGTGATTTAAAGGCTTCTTCAAGTTTACTTTCTAGGTCATTGAAGATTACAAGGGAGAGGCAACAGTTAACTGTTCTATATCCACGTGGTATTGAGTCTAGCCCCCTCATATTTAGAATCCACACGTTTAGATCTTTATGTAAAATGGCACAGAATTTACATCTTCCCATACACTTTAAATCATATCCAAATTATATGATATTGAATAATGTAAATGTCATGTGAACAGCTATTATACTATATTGTTTTAAAATTTCTATTATTTTTCATTGTTTTTCTCCTTTAAATATTTTCAGTCTGTGGCTGAACCTGAAGACACATAGGCAACTCTCATACTTGGTATCACGCTGTCTGTGGGGAAAAACTCACGAACGACTTCCCTCCTACACAGCTATACATCCATCCAGCAGCACACAATACAGGCCTTCAGCACTCCAATACAGCATTCAAACTGCACAGAGCAGTATAAAACATTTGAAACACAGCAGTCCCAAATGTCTCCAATGTCTTTGAGAATATCACCATAGTAGATAATAGTAACATCTTTTCAGGTATTAACCTACACTCAGAAAACAAAAAACAATGATATGTACAATATAGTATTAAGAAAAGTAGGCAAATAAAATTTAAAATAATTCCTACATAAACTAGGGTCTGGCTAGATAAGACTATTTTGGAGCCTACAAGGATAAACTTCAATGTTCTAAGACATTCACTTAGTTTTTTTTTTTTTTTTTGGAACTGGGGGTTGAACTCAGGCCCTTGCACTTGCCAGGCAAGACATTCATTTAGTTGTCACTTAAAAATTTCAGTAATACAGATCGAGGACAGTTGGATAACAGATACATATTTACAGAGTAGAGTCTCTGCTGTCAAGGAGCTGACTACAGAAAAGAAAAACGTATAAGCTGACTCTGGGAGGACCATCCAGCTATTAGAATAAGGAGGGCAGGGCCGGCCTGATAGCTCAGCAGACTAAAGTGCCTGCTTTGGCAGAGCACAGAGGCTGGGGTTCATCCTGGCAGCGAGCTGTGCGGGCCCCAACCCTGGGGTGCACTGAGACAGTGATTGAGACGGTGATTAAGACTGGGCGTGGTGGTGTGCACTGTAATCCCAGCTGTTGGGAAGCTGAAAACAGGAGAATCACTACAAGTCTGCTCTGTGTAGTGAGACCCTGTAAACCCTGTCCTAAATACAGAAGAAAAAAAAAAAAAGAATAAGGAGGGCAATGGTGTTTCAAAGAGGAACACACACTTGCTCATCGGCTTGAGTTTTCTCCATCTACCCTTGCTTTATTTTGAAGCCTGAAGAAACCCAAATATAGCTGTGCATGGTGGTATACACCTATAATCCAGGTACTCTGGGAGGCTGGAGAAGGACTACAAAATAAGCCTTGTCTTAGCAATTTAGCAAGACCTTGTCTCCAATTTCTGTTGCTGTGAACTATACTATCTTCAGATATGGTTGGGGGCCTTCAGTATCTGTTAAACTAGAAAAGGCCATCAGACATCTTTCTGCAATTGGTTTTTTTTGAGGAACTGGGGATTGAACTCAGGCCCTTGCGTTTGCCAGGGAAGCGCTTACTCCACTGAGCTATCTCCCCATCCCTCTTTCTGCAATTAGATTATGTCTACATGTTCTGTTGTAACTTTTCTAGAGACCATGTGGCTGTGACCTAGTGTCAACACTTTTTCCATCCATGGTTTTTTTCTGTCTGTCCATCCCTCCCTCCACCCACCCATCATTCATTTATCTGTTGATCTATTGGTACTGGGTATTGAACCAGGGACTTCTGCACTGAGCTACAACCCTAGACCTTTTAAAATTTTTTAAATTTTGAGATAGGGTTTTACTAAGTCACTAACTTGCCCAAGCTGGGATTGAACTCACAATCCTTCTGCCTCAGTCCAGAGTGCTACGATGACAGGTATGTACTACATGTCTCACTTCCATACACGCTTCTGATATAAAGAATTTGTATAGGCAGCCGCTTTGAGAGAACAAATTTTACTCTGATAGGAGCGTTAATTCTGTAAAGTGGGAACTATTAAACACCAGTGATTGAAACAAAAATACTCCAAGTATCGTTTCCCAATCTATTCCACGTACTCTGAAGGGCACAGTGGCAGAGGGAGGCAATTTTATGTATTTAAAGGAAGCTTTTGAGAAAAGGACTTACGAAGTAAAAGCCAAGACCCAAAAGAAAAGTATCCAACAAATTAATGCTTTGGGTTCCAGTGGTCTAACCAGCCTCTGTTGGTTCAATTCAGACTCACAAAACAGTAGCCCTGGAAATTCTGATGCAGGTGAAGAACTAAAATATTTTAGCAATTAAGACAATGCTTCTCAAACTGTCATATGCAAAGAACTTATACTTTTGAAGCATGTGAGATGTATTTTCTCTTGCTTTTTTTTTTTTTTTTTTTTGAGACAGGGTTTCATTACATAGTTCAGGCTGGCCTTGAACTCACTATGTAGCCCAGGCTGGATTCAAATCCACAATTCTCCTGCCTCAGACTCTTGAGTGCTAGAATTACAGGTGTGTGACACCACACTTGGCTGCTTGCAGAAAGCGTGACATTTATTTGAAGCATGTTTCATTTAATAATTCATGATAAATTTATTTTTTATTTTTGTTGATACAGGGTCTCGCTACACAGCTCAGCGTGCCCAGGTCGCCAGGGGCAGTACAGCATGCCATACCAGAGATTTAGGTCCCTGTGCTTGCCAGGCAGGCACTTAGATCACTGAGTTATCTCACCAGCCCAAGAATTTTGTTTCATTTCATTTTACATTGATAACTTCTCCCTGAAATGTGTAAATTTAACACTGTACAAGATGAGCCCATGTCCATCCTTATGGCTTCTCATAACTCATTCTAATCAGGCCAACTAATTTGTAATCTCAAGAAATCATAAAAGGAGATTCTTTGTGTAAGAGATAAAGCTTAGGTATTTCTTTTGTATGTTTAATTTAGAAATAAAACAAAAAAACAGCTCAATTCAGTCTGCTCAGAAGTCCAAGAAACTGTTTAGTTTTCGAGTAGTGTGCTTTGGTGGTTTAGGAGATTAAGGAACTGAGGAACAGAAGTAAAAATGTATGCTCAACGGTAATGGCAGAGAAATACACATGAGCTAGAAAGACTTAAACAGGGTGAGACTTACTTTAAAATCTGCTAATTGTTGGTTGATGACATCCACTTCGGTCCCCACTACCCACTGCAGTGCTTCTCCTTCCTCTGCTGCAGTGGTTGCATCATTCAGTGCTTTCAATTTCCTATAGAAGTCTTCTATGCGGCCCAAAGTCAGCTCTAGCTGTTCCTGGCGAGCTTTTCCTCTCTCCGTCAGTTTGCTGCACTGTTTGCTCAGAGCTTCTAGCTCCCTCTTCAGACCCAGCAAGTCCAGAGTCCCCTCTTCTTCTAGCATTTGTTGGCACTCTGCTTCAGAGGCCTCTATATCAAACCTGAGGGCTTGAATTTTATTAAGGAATAGCCACACATCCTCAATTTGGGACTGGAGGCTATCTGTGTCTCTGCCAATAGCACCCATGCTGTCCAGTTCATCGTCCAGGTCTGCCAATTGAGAAAACATCTCCCGGACTCGGCAGTGAAACTGACCAATTCCCTCTAACTTGTTTTCCATTGTCATGCAACTATTGTTCACTCTTTGCTTCACTTCTAGGAATTCTTGCTGGGCAACCTCAGCTTGATGTAGAAGTTGGGAAGCATCAGATCCATCTGGGGCATCTTCTACCAGTCCCTGAGTGAAGTTCCTCAGATAGTCTACTTGAGGCTCTAGGGCCTGTAGTACTTCCTGTTGAGCCCTCAGCTTCTCCAGATTCTTGTTGCTACAGGCTTGAGAGCCCAGGGCATCAAAGATTTCAAGTTGATGTTTGGCTCCTTCCACCTTCTTTTCAATATTCTTAAAGCTTTCTTGGAACTCTTTGAGCCTCTGACTCATTTCTTCCAGCAACCCTGTTTTGGCCTGTAACTCTAGTGTAATTGTATCCATGTTCTGGTTGATCCTAGCCTTCTCATCCCGAATATCATCCTCATCTATTTCTGAAGAATTGATCAGAATGTCTACAGCACTATTCAGCATTTCTAGCAAGGAGCGGCGCTTCTCCACCTCACTTAGCATAGCCTTTGACCTCAGGAGACCAGACTCGAGTTGCACTGGGTCCAGAGTAACTTGCACCTCTGATAGTTTGGCCTCACAATCTTCTATCCATGGTACAAGGTCTTCCATGTGCCACTGATACTTCTGAGCTTTCTGCATGCAGTCTTTGAGTCTGGATTGTCTATCAGCAGTTTTTTTACTAAGTTCTTCCCAGTGGCTTTTGAGTTCAATCATCTGGTTTTGTAAAATCCTTTTTTCTTCTCCAGGAGGTACAGAGAGCAGCAGAGACTCCCCCTCAGCCACAATCACCTCATAAGAACCACTGTGTTGATTAAGGCTCTTTTGAAACTCTTCATTCTCCTGTAACTGAGACTGTATATGCTCCAATTTTGCAGAAATTGGGCAGTTTTTTGCTTGCTGGCTTTGTTTGTCATCCAACCAAGTCCTCAGCTCATCAAACATTTGCTGAAACTGCTGGGTGCTGGCAAGGGCTGCTTGGAGTCTGTTCATGCGATCAGCTAAAATGAAAACAATGAAATTGAAATTAATCAAGCCTTACCATGGCATTATAAATGTCTGTGTAGACTATATGAGAATCTACCATAAAGAGGCATATACCTAAGACTCCTTTATACACTGTATCTTATTTAATCCCCCATCATCCTTTCAAGGTGACACCTGTACTTCTAAGGCAGAGTAAACTAATATAACTGAAATAAAGTTTTTAGGAGAATGTGCGTAATTCCACCTACTAGTCCATCTATAGACATGAGCCTACCTGATGAATGACTCTGTATCTATCAACTCTAGGACTGTGCTATGTGAAGCACTACGTATTTGTGCTCAGTGTATGATGGCCACAGCAGCTCTGTCACTGGAAGAAGGGTTTGGGTAACACAATTCTTTTATTGTTTTGTTTTATTTTGGGGGGACAGAGCCTTGCTATGTAGTATAGGTTGGTCTTGAGCTTGCTGAGCCTCCTTCCTCAGCCTCCCAAGGACTGGGATTACAGGTGTTTACAGGTGTGCACCACCACTCATGGCCTTGGTAAAACAATTCTGAGTTCAAAAGCTTCTTAAGGGTCATCCTAAATTCCTGGGACTATTATTACGTCACCCTGTTTCTCGTTACTGATAATGACAGAAGCGTGTGCTTCATTCCAACTCACCTGCAAGATCTTCTAAGCCCTGGAGTGGCAGGGTGACCGTCTCTAAACGCTTCTTGAGCTCGTCCTTGAGGTACTGCTCACCGATAAGCACCGAGAGTTCATTGCACAGTGTCTGGGCCTCCTTAATCTCACCGTCAAGTTGCTCTAAGTTAGATCGAATCTCACTGGTCTCCTCCAATTGCTGCTTTACAGCCTCAGGCTGAGTGCTAATGGCTGACTGACCACTTAGTCGCTGCCCAACTGCTTTCACCTTCTCGGATAAGTGCTGGAGCAATTCTTGGTACTGGGTACTTTTGACAATAGCTTGATCAATTTGGCTGGAACGGGAATTCAGTTTATCAGTTAGCTCGACCCACTTCTGATTGATGCTCTGGAGTTCCTTCTGTACTTGGCTGGTGGATGGAGAGACATCTCCTGGGCCTGTGAGGATGCCCTGCGCTGCCTTGTTCAGCTGCTCATGCTGTTGCCTGCGTGCTTCAAATTCCTTCAGCATAAACTGTAACAGAAATGACACCAACATGTTTACAAAGAAAACAACGTATCTAAAATCAGTGTGAAAAACAAAAACTGATTTTGGATTATGCCAACCCCTTTTGAAAATAAACCAGAAAGGGGCCAGGGAGATGGCTCAATAGAATAAGCGCTTGCCTGGCAAGCACAAGGGCCTGAGTTCAATCCCCGGTTCTGAAAAAACAAAAAACAAACAAACACATAAAAAAAGAAAATAAACCAGAAAAATCCAAGGACCAGACTACTAGTCTGACACTGTATTATCTTTTTTCTTTCCTTGACACAGGGTCTTGCTATATCATTCAGGCTGGCCTTGAACTTGTGATCCTCCTGCCACAGCCTCCTAAATGCTGGGATTACAGGTGCACACCACTACATCTTGCTGAAGCACTGTTATTTTTCACAACTATTCACTAAAAATTTATTTTGAAAAGATTGTTGACTGTATTTTTTTTTATTAGTCCTATTTTGTTTTAACATCAGCTACTAAGGTCAGTGTGGGCTGGGAAACGAGAATGGCGTTCATCAGCTCTGCTACGCAACACCAGGCCTCTGAATTCAGTCTGGAACACTCGGTCCCTCAGCCAGCTATCTTACTGGCTGGGTTTGTCACTTCAGCTCTCAATGCCTCTGTTTCTTAGTTTCTTTATTGGAATTTGGATAGTACATATGATCTATATGCTATGGTATAACACTATTAGATAAAGAGCTATTTAAAAACAAGGACCGGGGCCGGGGAGATGGTTCAGTGGAATAAGCGCTTCCCTGGCAAGCGCAAGGATCTGAGTTCAATCCCCGGCTCTGCCAAAAAAAAAAAAAAAAAGAAAAAAAAAAGAATGTAAAAACAAGGACCATGCTTTTATATTTATTTACTATTCTCTGCTTTTCTCATCAAAAAATGACTGCTATATCACAGACTGATGTCACAGCATTTTCATCTGAACCCTGCTGTACCATGCACTAGCCATATAAACTGGGACAAGTTTTAAAAAGTTGTTCACACAGCACTCAGCAGGCTGTGAGTTCCAGTCTGGTCCTTGGAGTTTTCTGGCTTATTTTCTTTTTTTAAACATTTATTTATTTATTTATTTGTGTGTGTGTGTGTGTGTGTGTGTGGCCAGCTCAGCCCACCAGGGGGCAGGGCTGGCTGGCATGTGGTGCTGGGGGATTGAACCGTGGTCCTTGTGCTTTGCCAAGCTTGTTCCAAGTAGGTGCTTCAGACCACTGAGCCATCTTGCCAGCCCCCGAGATAGTTCCTCATTTGTAAGATGAAAATAGTAAAGTACTTGGCTGTCATACAGATTAAATGAGATAGCTGAGGGTGTAGCTCAGTGGTTGAGCACCTCCCTGGCATAAATGAGGCACTGGGTTTGATCCCAGTAACACAAAGAGACAGAATGAGAAAAAAGACTAAATGAGATTATTTATGGAAAGTCTTCAACATTTACACTATAAAAATAAGATATGGCTGCATGGTAATGCATGTCTGTAATCCCAGCATGTGGGAGGCTGAGGCAGGAGGACTGCTATGAGTGTGAGACCAACCTGGGTTGCATAGTAAACTCAAGACCAACTGAACCAGAAAGTGAGACTCTGTCTCAACAAATAAAAACACTATGACCTCACCTGGACCTGCTGCTTTTGTGCATTCAACATGTTGGGGTCAATGGACAAAGGCCCCAGCACCCCCATCATCAGCTCCTTCTCCAGCAGCCAGGGCCGGAGTTGGGACTCTGCTGCCCGGAAGCCAGCCAGGTGGCTTGCAGATTCCTCCAGCTGCTTCTGCCGAGCCATAGTCACCTCGGTCGCCCTTTCCCATCTTGAGTCTGTAAGAAGGAAATGAGAATGTAGTTCTGTTACTCTCCTCAGCAACTGCTTGTCCCTATGTATAGGAAACGACCTCAGAAATATTATGTAACATTTCGTTAAAATTAAAACTATCTTTTTGAAAATTTTAACTAATCATTCTCTATCTTTATTGGAGGGTGGTAACATGAAACTGCCATGATAAAATTACACAAAACAAAATGAACATATGCACTCACACAAGTATGTTGAATACAAGTAAAATGTGCTACGTATATTATCAAAATAGTCTGTTTAAAATTTACTATTTTTCATGCTAATACATTTTTTCATGCTCATAAATATTTGCCTACATTACTTATACATAATTTTCCTAACCTCTCCATTAAATCTTTAGATTACCTTACAGTGTTTTTTCTACTTATTGGTAAGGGCAGACTCTCAGTTTGGCTTGCTTACAGAAGCAGACTTCTGATTCCAAGTTTTTACAAGTTTTCCCTATTCAGGATCCCTCTACAGCCCTATATGGATCTCTTCCTTGGTTACAAAATCAACTGAACATAATTCCTGTATTAATACATGCTCAAATTCCATTTGGTTTGGAGAGAAGCAATTTAGTGAATGTGAAACATTTCTGTGACAACTTACTGAGCTCTTCTTGCATTTTCTTCCAATTTTCTGCTTCTTGTGAGTTGGGATATGTCATTAGTAATCCAGCTAAGGCTTCCTTTACTTTTTGGATTTTTGGAGAATTCTGTTCCAATTCAGCCAAGAAGGCCTATGAGAAAGAATACAAGGCATGCCATGAGATTCAGGGAAGGAAATAAAAGTGTGTGTGTGATGACTGGAAGATTGACTGACCTGCCAATAACAGGCTCTCCTCTAATTCTATCCATGACTTATTTTGTGATTTTAAGGTACTTAACATTTTTGCTTCAGTATTGACAATAAAAATCTAAGCTGGGTGTGGTAGTGCACCCTGTAATCCTAGCACTTGGGAGGGTGAGGCAAGAGGGTTGCCATGAGTTTGAGGCCAGCCTTGGCTACACAGTGAATTCAAGGCTAGCCTGAACTATACAGTGAGACCCCATCTCAAAAACAAATAACAACAACAACAAAAAACCCAAAAAACAAACAAATGAAAAAAGATAACAAAACAAAACAAAAACACCACTTTGACTGTCTTAGGTCCCTTCAAGAATACAAAAGATGGGGCCAGGGAGATGGCTAAATCAAATAGGCGCTTCCCTGGCAAGCGCAAGGGCCTGAGTTCAATCCCTGGTTCCACAAACAAACAAACAAAAAAAACAACAAACAGGGGCTGGGGAAATAGCTCAGTGGAATAAGTGCTTCCCAGGCAAGCACAGGGCCTGAGTTCAATCCCCGGTTCTGCCAAAAACTAAAAAAAGAAAAAAGAATACAAAAGATGCTTTGATGAGATTGACTTGGCTCTCAATGTAACACCACATGGAAAAATGAAATTCTATTCACAAAGGCCTGGGGGGAGAAGGTCCAAATTTTAGGTTGTTTCTGAATCTGACTTACAATAATTTCTAATCTCATAGGTAAGAAAATTCTATAGGAAATAAAGGCATTTGAAACATTTGGAAGCCAAATAAAGCTTATCAGGCCTAGATTGTCAGTCACATCTCACTCTCAGATGCCTTGCTTAGGGCAGGAGCACTGTAAAAGTCATTCCTCTTAATGCTGAGATACAGCCAACATAAATATAGTACCTTGTTAGATTCAGCTTGGGCTTTCACTGTTTCTGTCTTGGTTGGAGACAAAGCATCATCCATGGCTTTCAGGACTTCCTCTTTTGATTCCAGCCACTGCAGCACTGCATGTGCTTCCTTCTGAGCTTCCTCCATTCTGCTGAGGATAGCCTGAAGGCTTTCTTGGCGATCCTGAAGAATGCCTCCCAGTTTCTCGTATTTCACATTTACATCTGACATGTCACACTGGATCTCCGTCAGATCTGGTATTATAGATGCATAAATTAGATTAGGAAAAGCTCTCCCCTTGGGTTCTCACTCTGGAATTACTTGTCAGGATTAAGCATCTGTCCTACTCCTTTAGTGAACTAGTGATTATCTTCCTCCTAAACCACATATACACGTCTCTACACAAAGCAAAAGAACTTTCAATCTGCTTTCTGGTCTGGACATCGAAACAACAAAAGTGAGGGGAGCACAGTAAGAAATCAACTGCAGCATATTATCAGCATTAATAGACTTGTAGCAGGGTTTCCTGCTCTATTCCTCCCAACTACGGAGAAGTTACTCAAGGACTTCTCTAGAAGGCTTCCCTAGATTACTTCAAGAATAGCTTCTTTATAATTTAAAGTTATTCTCCCCCCACCCTAAGGTCTTTCCATATTGGCCTTATCTGGTGAGGTAGTATTTATTTTTCCTCGGTACCTTCAGTTCTGGAACTGCTAACCTATGTAGCTCATAGCCAGCAGACAAAGGGGCATCACCATTGCTCCTCCCCACATTTTTGCCCTCAAGCCTCTCCTGGCAGCAGCAGTTCTTCCATACATATTAAAAAACAGATGCAAATGAGAACACTGTCCCAACACACCCAACAAAGAGGCACTGCTGAAATGACATTCTCACCTTTGCAGGTGTGGTATCCGTTTACACTGCCTACAGAGCTTCCTACAGGGGGCAGTATGGAACCTGAGCAGAAGGACAGGGAGACAAACAGGGCAAGACCAACGTGTTAGGAATACATACAGGCACTGCATTTGTTCTTAAGACACTTTCTTTAAGCTTGAGTATTAGAAGTTAACACAGCACAGGACAACATACAGAAAGAGACAAATCAATTTAGCTGTCAAGCAACAAAACATCACTTGAGGTGAAGTATTCTCAGCAGTAATGATTCTTAATGTTTTCTAAAGGAAATTAAATTCACAACTCTCCAATTTGAATTCTCTGGACCATTCCCTAATTTTATGAAGCACTGTTAAAATTCTTGAGTCTTTTTTTGGAGGTGATTTATAATAAAGCCAAAAAGATTGACCTTTAATTCATTATAATAAAAATAAACTACAAACACAATTAAAAACATAGAAAGCAGTATTAAGTATGAACCCTTCTCATACTGCTTCTAAAGGAAGATTCTCTATTTCTCCTTTCCTGATCTGTTCTAGTCTTATCCCACCAGAAAAGAAACTTTGAATGGTAATAAATCTGGCTCAAAAACATTTTCGTAAGCTTTGCTTTGGGTCTTTGGTTCTAATTACCATAATTTTACCTATATTTTCCTCAAATTAATCTCTTCTATTTTAGAAGCGCTCCCAATTTTAATAAAAATAAGGTCACAAAACTATAAAGATTGGGCTGGCGAGATGGCTCAGTGGTCTAAAGCACCTACTTGGAACAAGCTTGGGAAAGCACAGGGACTGCGTGCGGTTCGATCCCCTAGCACCACATGCCAGCCAGCCCCGCCCCCTGGTGGGCTGAGCTGGCCATACACACACTAAATAAATAAATAAATGTTAAAAAAAAAAAAAAAAAAAGAAATCTTAAAAAAAAAAAAAAAACATACCGATGAATGTCCATTTTGTATCTGTGTATTCAAAGAGGTTGGGATTGATATATAGTTGCATTCTCTTAATGAATAGAATGATTTGTTCTAATGGTGTTTGTGAATAGGATCACAAGTCCGCATCTTGTACAGCAATTAACCACTAAGAAGAATATATGCAGTGTATTATTTGTTGAAACTGTCCTTCCGATTTGATTTGAAACTGTCTCATTGCTATCTCTTTGTCAATAAAACTTTGAAAAAAAAAAAAAAAAAACAAAAACTATAAAGATTATGCAGAAAATGCATAATTATAAAGAAATGTGGGAAATATTCATGATATAGTATTATATTAAAACAGTGTATACAGCTCAATGGGAAAATGCTTGCCTAGCATGCACACAGCCCTGGGCTTGATCCCTAATATTGAAGAAAAAGAAAAAAGAAAAAAAGAATAATATTCCTATGTGCAATTGACTACACTACACAAAAATCATGTATGAGATTAAATTAAAAACTACTTGTTAGGGTGGTGATTATCATTGAAATGTTAATGTTATTGTATTTTCATTTTAAAGTAGATCAAAAAGAAAAATACTGGGGATTGAACTCAGGACCTTGAGCTTGCAAGGCAGGAGTTTATGCCCTGAGCTATCTCCCCAGCTAAAGAAAAATTATTTTCCATTTTAATGTGGTGAAAACTAAAAAAACAGCCAAAACACAAAAATGGACTAGTAAATAAAAGCAAGTCCTATCCAGGGCTGTTATTAACTCAGTATATAACTTTAGTCTACGTTCAGCCTTTGGTTTAACTCTCTAGGGTAAGAAGACATTACTGTCTCTTCTGTAACTCTCACAGGATTACTGAAAGAGGTCAAGAAATAATATACATGGGCTAGCCAAATAGCTCAGTGGATTAAAGCCCAAGCAGGTGCAGGGGTCTGGGGTTCAATCCCAGAGGTTCAATCCCCATGTCTGCCATGTCGGCCCTGCCCCAAGGGCATGCTGGGACAGCAATTGAGACTGGGCATGGTGATGCTCACCTATAATCCCAGCTCTTGGGAGGCTAAACAGGCCGATCACTATGAGTCCAATCTAGTAGTGAGACCCTGAATACCCTGTAAACCCTTCCCTAAAAAATTCAAAAAAAGAAAGAAAGAAATAATATACATGAAAAGTACTTCATGAAACAACAACAAAAAAACATGTACAAGTATAATGAACTGCAATATTCAGTTTTTCAGTACTGGCAGAGAACAATGAAAGAGCTCAGGATAGTGATTTTCTAAATAATTTTCAAAAGTAGTGCTTTAGAGATTCTGTAAATGTTTGGTTTAGAGTTAATATTTGGGTAAATTTTAGCTATTAAGAAATGGCAATAAAACATCCATGTTCAAATGTGTTGAATGGCCCATTCTAGTTTACTATCTTCAACCAGTCCATGCAGCTTTTTATGGGGAATAAGCAGCTCCTAAAATCTCCACATGCATTTAAACTTCTTTTTTCATGCTGGTAATTGAAAGGTTAGAGCTGTTTACCAGAATGACATAATATTCAAACCCATATATGGACATTCCTGCATACTATCATTGAAAGATAAATATTTACAGTACATTAAAAAAAAAGGCTGGGCAAACTCTCTTTGAGGCAGAATTGTACAATAATAAAAATTTTTTTTTAAATTCTTAATACTTTAGATCATGAATGATAACTTACAAATATTCTTAGTGGTTTGATTTAACTTGGAAACAAGAATTACTACAACACTGTTAAGTTTCTAGTTCAGTTTAATCAAACAGTATCATAAGATTATAATAAACTTTTAAAAACATTTGTCATTATCCCATGATGAATGTAATCATTATGTACTGCAATATATAATAAAAATAAAATCATAAACACAAAAACAGTTATCATTTGCAACTACTTATCTACATGAACCATATTTTCAGGATATAATATCAAAAAACAACAAAAATAAGTCAGATTGATCTAACTATGAAACTGGATGTGGTAGTGCATGTTTACAATCCCAGCACTTGGGAAGCTGAGGCAGGAGGATCACTGTGAGTTTGAGGCCAGCCTGGGCTACA